GATTTTATCACGTATCTTAAATTACACCGAATACGCAGGTCAGCTTACAAATTAATGCCCACGAATTACGAAAATCTGATAGTTTTAATTTTCTTTTTGTGTTTTTGTCCAAAATACATGGTAAAATCTTTCATTCCCATTATTTTCTCTATAGAAAGGTGTAATCTACATTTATAAAATTTTCCCCCATGTGATGAAGTGTTACAAATTTAATTATGTATGGGCGGATAAGATCTTTTTCCTATACTTTGCGTGTTAAAACGCAAGTTTTCATTTGTGATTATCTTTTAAACGAGAGGAGAGGAGGAGTAAAGGTAAGGGTGATCAAGGGGCAGACGGATGGGGTAAGATTCCGGGGCCTCCGCTGGCTCATGCAGCAAACAGATAATGATTTGTTTGCGGCTGGATCTCGTCCGGCGGACTTTCCCCTGGCGGACGTGCTCCCGAAGAGTGTGTACATAGCTCACGTCAATTAGCTCTCAGGCGCACATTGCAATTGTTTGATAGACTATCAATAGCACTTTTTGGATTCCCTTCGTTGGTTTATAAATAAGTTTAGTGGCGATGCGATACGTGACACTCCGCCACTGTTAACTGTAGAGGCGAACTGAGTAGAAAAGGTTTTATCGCAACAGAGCAGACAGGAGCACCACAGCAGAGCTCTGACAACCTCACGCCACCACTATCAAGGGCCGGATACCAGTCTGCGGGGCTGTAAGCAGTAAATATTTTGATGTCCCATTGGTCTTTTTTTAATCTAATTGTAAACATTAAAATCCAATTTTTAATTTAAAATCTATATAAATAGGATTTTTATTGTTTTATTTATAAATTTAGGACAAATTGCATTATAACTTACCTAAAACATTAATACAATATTTATGCATTTCATTTATCAATCAGTAAATACTCATCCATTAATGCTTTTGGATATATATAATCATATAAGTAATTTAAAACATCTTTTTCCTACTCTTTTGTTAAGAAAATTATTTTATTAAATCATCAAAATATGCATAACATAATATTCATTTCATGGTAAAGCCAATAAAGTCTATCTTGACGCATTGGATTTTTATCCTTTGTAACCGTGAAAAAGATCGCTCTTCGGAACAGATTGTTATTATCGACGTTTAAAACATTACAAGACAGATTTCTCTACGTGTATTTAATTTATTTATTTATTTATTTACGTCAAAAACAGTTACAAAGTGTGTATGACGTGCAATGGGGAGAAGTTAATTTGAAGTTGCATTTATGTCCAGAAGCAAAACTAGGGCAAACAAACATCTCAGCATTTGCTCGAGGATCAGGGAAACTGGACGAAAACCTGATCGAGATGGGGGTCATTGACCCAGAAGCTGAAGTACAATACTTGTTACAGATTCTTTACAATTATACAATCCAAGTGATATGATACATTAAATGTCATTTTAAAGTACTTTGCTTTTGGATGCTCGAAGTTCGGCAGTTGGGAGAAACTGTTTGGAGTTTATCATTTATAATTATTTTATAAAAATCAGTTCGTATAATTAACATGAATACTTAATCTTCGTTAATTTTCAAAAGTAGGTAATGATGAAATTGTTTCAATGCTCCAGCATGATTAAAATCCCGATCCTCAGGTTACGATGCGACGGGCGTTTCAACGTTGGATGATAATTCATCGTTTGACAGATTCGATTCGATTTAGATTTATTTTGTCAAAACAATAAGAACTGTATATGACTTATGGTGGAGAAGATCATGTGCGCACGTTTTCTGGAGTTCCAGAATCTCTTCCCGTCATTTTAACTATAAATAGTTGAAGGATGAGTAAAAGTTCCAAATGAATAAAAATAAATTTAAAAAAGCGCGAGATTACCAATATTGATAAAAATAGACATCTGTGTTCCTGAGTTGTACGTTTCGTCTTCCGGGCCAAGAATTTATCAAGCAGATCTAGTTTCGACGCGTTTTCGAATTTGTCGGAATCTACGCAGAGATCTTGCAAGTAATTGGTCAACGATTCATAGACCTCTCTGCTAACTTTCAATTTAATTTTTTCACTTTAAAGAGCTTGATATGCTATGAAAGTGATACAAAATGTCATTCCACACTGTTAGAATGAAAACGACCACAAATTCTTGCATTTTTGCAGCAATATTTGTTGCTTCTCGTATCTCCTTTTGCTCATTATCATCGGAAAATCTAAGTTATGAATTTGAGAATATGAATATCGTATTGCTTTCGTGGCAACAGCGCTCGCATTCCAATGCGTATCCAAAAGTTTCTTAAAACGACCAGACAAGATTCCAAGAATGTGCTGCCCATGGGATATTTATCGCATATGTTTTTTGTTTGTTTTTTTCTAAAGTAATACGTTGAATCCCTTTAAAACCAGATATATTTGCTGCATTATTGTTCGATTGTCCTGTGCGCTTGGAAAAATCAATGTTACAGTTTTCACATAAATAATTCGCATCCTGGGTAGCAATTCCTTTCCAACATGATTTTCCAGTTTCAATAATGTTTAAAAAAATCTTCTACAGGCAATCTGACTGACGGCGATACATATCTTATTATGAGTTGATCAACGTAGGATAGATCAGGTGTTGAATCGACGAATAAACTAAAATATCCAGAAACTCTTATTTCATCCAAACCCGTAGAGAGGGCTTGCTTACTTATTTGTTCAATAAACCCTGCGAATATAGTTATCGACAGATATGACACACTTCCTGTAAAAAAATTGTGAACAATTGTTAAGTTCTGTAAAAAAAATGTTATATTTGAAATTTTTTAGTTCAAAGATATAAATACCTTTTCCACGAATTCCATTATTTGAAATGTGTGAAGCCAAAAAATCGGAGATAATTTCTGGGAAACCCAAATATTTACATTATTGCCGGATCCAAATGTCTCATTTATCCCTCGGACAGGTAATACCCGTTCTGCTAATGTTTGAATGACGACTACAACTTATTGCATGACATGATGTCAGTATTTAAGAATCTTCCTCGTTTTGGTCATTAACTGGAAATTCAGTTCTATTCCTTTTCGATTGAAATATGCAAGCATTGCCTCTCTGGGATTTTGTGAATTTTCTTGTTGATTAATGACACCCTTACTTCGCCAGTCACTAAATCCGATTACAAATCGCGACATGACATTTGATAGAAAAAGATATTATGCAAAACACCGAACCATTTGATGGAGAATAGAGCAGACACTCTCGAGTGTACTATTCACCATTTGCATTTTTATAATGAAATCTATTTTGAGAGCAAAATCTTGTTTGTTTCCCATCTTGAAATGTCCTGCGTGAGTTTTCAAGTGATCCTGAATGATGTTGGCAGTTTTCCGGTCCTTGATATTGTAACATATTAGCCAGCATGACTCGTGGCATCTATTTGGGGACGCTTGGTAGAGGATTAGCCTCGCCACAGGAAGGAGAGAAGGGTTTTTCCGTAAAGGCAAGAACGCGGAAACGGGAGACACAAGGCTTTGGAGTCTTCCGGCCTTTAGAAAATTTTCACTGTTATAACAAGCGAGGGGTAGGCGTGACGTAGTAGGTCACGTGGGCCTCGCCTATATAACAGAGTGTACAGAGCCAGTGGGTGGGTTCTGGAGACAGCGGGAGAACCTCGTGCGTGTGCACAAAACTTGGCGCCACGACGGTGCAGATGCGAGCCCAGCTCGCGATGCTCGAGTCACTAGTTGACGAAGCCTGCGGAGGACTTTGTGTCCTTGGGTGACTGCGGTCACGGGGGAGCGATGCTGTGTGCGTGCTCCGAGGTGAAGAGTGGTTGAGTGCCACGATTCACGCCGATTCTCAATCGGATAAGATCGCTCCTGCGATCGAGGCAAACCAGCCGTTGGTGCGCCAGAACGGACTTTGTGTCCCAGCGTGACTTCCGGTCACGGAAGCTAGGCTTTGTACGCGCTTCAGAAGTAGGAGTGACGAATGCCACAATCAAAACCATCTTCAATCGGATTTGGATCGCTCCCACGATCAGGGGATAGTAGGTCTATCAGAGCTAGGGTGTAAGTAGGATATTAAGTGTATATATTTGTTATGTTTTCTTTGTTAATAAATATATTGTTATATGAAAGCTCTGTTTCTGTGGTCGCTGTGAGTATCCATGACGTCACAATATATCCACTAGTTGGTGTCATCTGCATTAAACGTTGTCCACCTGTGAAGTTCTTTAATTCTATTATCTTGATCAGTAAAATTTTGAATTACGAGATTATTATCGTTATTGACAATAAGCGCATGATCTTGGATTTCATGCATTGTTTCCTCCTCTACCACATCCGCCACACTTCAGGAACATTTTGTGAAGTTGAAGGTGATGCAGATGGTTGAAAAAGCGAAGTTAATTTGGGGAATGATTTCATCTTTCTGTCGCTTTTCCTCGGCTAGTTTTCGTGTTTGAGATCCACTTGGATAATTTCTCTTCATATTAAATTTTTATAAGGCACATTAATACACCTACAATAAAATTATTTATGTTATTGATGGTCATTTGCAATGGGTGCGAAATTTGATAAAGATCGATTTATCGGCTGAGTACTTATACGGTAATCTGGCACTGCCACTATCGGACGGATTATATCATGAACAAACGTTCTCGTCCTCTGCTGGCCCCCTCGCCCATCTTCGCTGCTCGTCTATGACCTGCATTTCACATTCACCTTTCTTTGAAACGAAGACGTGAAACAACATGCTTCGTAATATAAGCATTTTTATAAATTATGACCGTAGATATGTTTAAAGTTCGTAAAAGAAATAAATGTTTCCCGCCCATGTCTCATCGTTATGTTTGTTTTTACCTTGACCTGTCGGACGGTGGGTTGAAAATATGTTTTGATTGTGCAAATCATTTCTTGTACTTAATTCAAACATAACGCAATGTAGTATTAAGTAGCTAAATGTGTGAATGGTTATTGTTGCATTTCATCTGAAAGCATATTTCTAAAGGATTTTTTTACTAATTTTGTATTTTGTTTGTTAGGTCAATCAATGCAATTGTTGGCTGGGTTAAAATATATTTGCAAACAGAACAGAAGAAAACTGACTACAAACCTGAAACGGATTTAGACACCCTTGCTTCTCCTGTAAGTATTCCTAAAGAAACTATTTTTTAAAGCCCGTTATTTGTATCTGTAAACATTCGGTTAGGAAGGTGCATAATTTTTCAATGCCATTTTCTTATTAGATCATAAGACCTGGGTTCTTTAATATTTTTTTCACAATGTAATGTTTCAGATCCATATGAGCGAATTGAAACCAAGTAATGAAAATAATGGGTATTTGTTGGCCCTTGTGCCGAATTAACTCCAACACACGGTGGCACATTTTCCGAAAATCGTGGTCAAAACCCAAAATGAAATCTCGTTTACTGAACTTTTACTCATGCTGTGACACACTGTATAGTTAGAGGCATTTGTTTCTGCCCAATTCGTGCCTTTGGGGGCCCTTCACCCGGCTCCACGCAGCAGCGTTTCAGGGGGGCGCGTCTGCTGTCAAAGCCGTGGTTACAATGGAGATATTCACACGAGCGGCATAGTCGCGTTGCTGTGGCGCTCGGTGGCGAACTCCCATCTTCAGCAGCGCCACCGCCATGGGAACACGGTTCAAAATGGCAGCCTTCACATTCAACGCGCCACTGAACCAGTTTCCTTGCTGGCTGCCTTTCGGCTTCGGAGCCTACGAAGAGCGGTGTGACCCACGAATCCTTCCTCTCTCCTAGTGAGGGGCGCTGAGCATTGGCTGCGTGTGAAAACCGCTTCTCTGAAGCTCCACTGCGTGGCTCTGTAATAGGGCGTTGGGTCAATTCCCTTGACGCCTGTAGTAATTCGAACTTACCCTTTGCGGGGTTAACTCGAGCAGCACTGCCCTAGTGTCATAGAGAGCCGGTCTTTGTTTGAAAATGATATCCATACGAAGTTGGATAGGAACGCCGGTGGATTGGATTCTATCCCAGGATGTTTGTAGATTATTTCCATTAATTTTTTTATAATACAATAATGAATGGTACCGACTGAGATTGAAATATTAAAACGCTTCAAATTATACTGATTTTAATTACCCGCAATTTTACGTAAACTCAAAGTTACTAGTCCCGCGATGTTTAAAAATTTCATTTACTGACAATCCTCGTACGTATCCAGTTGTAAAAACATTCTCCAACTTTACCCATTGTAACGATAGAGAATCAACTTTTCCTCTAGCGCGCATGACTTCCGAACATGACCCGCAGCGATCCGTTCGTTTACCACGCTATTAAATTGAATAGCATTTTTGTTTTATACTAAATTAAGAAATTTACTCAATTTTCAAAATTATATAGTCACGCTCACACCCGTTATGGTGAGTCTTTCCACGACCTGACCGGAGAATGCGGGGAGAACTCTGAAGTATTCCTTTCTTTCACGTCATCATCTCCCCCATCGTTCATTCTCGGTCTTTTATAACATTGTCTATTTTCTTCTACCTCTTCTATTTCAGTGTCTTTCCCCGTGTGCAGAACGCCCACTCATATGTTTGTCGTGCATGGTGACCCGCGTCGAAGGGAATGTATGTCCTGGCAGTTGAGGGACCTGTTTGATTCACAACTACTCATTGTGGTACTTTCTGCTTTGCACCTAGAGAGCCGTTGTTTACGTATGTTGGGGAACATTACTTGTAGGTTTCCAACACACTTGCGTTGGCCTTGGACTCTTCAATGAGAGGCAGTCGGGAACGACGGACAGGGCTTTTTACTGAACTCCAGAATGAGCAGGGGGATCCATGGGGGGACAGCGCTGTGACATCTCGCGTAAATCCTGGCACCCTAGTGGTTTCCATGATCCCCTTGTTGGACTCCATGGTGGATAGTGAGCACGGAGACAAATCCGCTTCAATTGAATTGAGCATAAAACAAACACCTTGCCGTCTTCCGGAAGGAAGAGTTTGAAATGTTTTGAGAGAACGGTGGATTTTAGTAGTTTCTTCCTTAGGGATGAAGATAAACCAAAGAATCCATGTTTCCTTTTGATAGCATGTACGGAAGAAGGAAAAACATTCCAAATTATTAGTGCGGTTCGTTTTGCGCGAGTATTTGAGGAGAGTTTCGGTAAACTCCAAGCGGTTGTACTTCAGAGGAATTCCACTATTCTCTTGGAAGCATGCACCAATGAGCAAATCGAAAAACTGAAACAAAGCAGATTGCCGGCCTCCAGGTGGAAGTGAGCACCCACCCTACTTTTAACTTATGTGAGGGAGTTGTAAATCACGATGCCTTTACGTCTGAAAGTGAGGAGGAACATCTGTCTTTGAGTCAGGAAGGCGGTGTTCAGGATCAAGAGGAAGGAGTATCCTTACTACCAATCTGATCTTGATGTTTAAGCTCCCCACTCTCTCAGAGAGGATTAGCTGTGGGTGCCACGTGCGGTAGTATGTGCTAAAGTGTGTGGAAGACTGAGAGTGAATCGGCGGTAATTCGTTGGGCACTCGAGGTAACGCCCACCAACTATCGTTGCATGAAGTATCCACGCAACTATCATGCAGCAACTATCGTTTAAGGTTAAATAGAACACAGTGTGCTTAGGAGTTATGACTCCTCTGTAGACTTAGGAGGTAGGGAAAAGTAGCGAAACGAACATACCGAGTAAAAAATCACAAATTCATAATTCGGGAGGAAACACCGAACCTCCGCTACAAGAAATCATGAACAAGCTAAAAGAATTTGAAAAAAAAAACTAAACAATGAATTGAGAATAGCAACAAAGGAAGGAAAAAGAGAATCAAGAAAAGATACTACGTGAAATAAAGATATTGAGATAAGACAATGACGAATTAAGGAGAGAAAAAAAATTGCAGACCTGAAAATGGAAATTTTGACGTCGCGCCAAGAGCAAACTGAGAGAAACAAATAATACAATGGAAGCATAGAACATTTAGAAATCAAAAACAAAGAATTAAGTCATGAATATATAAAGGGTTAGGGTCCATATTTTTTTGACATTTTCTTGTAATGTTAATTTATTCTATATTCATTCACAACATTCGAGGATTGTTGTCCCTATCATCTGGCTGTAAAATTGAATTTTGAAGTTTTATAGTACAAATTTAAAATTATTTACAGTACAATATTAAAATTGAGAAATTATGACAGGAAAGAACTTAACAGACACACGAGAGCTCACAAAACAAATGGTTTTTATATTGTCATTCTAAAGCCTCTGGTCGTTAGCATACTTCAATTGAAAGTGTGATAAACTCTAACAAAGGCCAAGAGGATCAATACTCACCTATCATTATATCCGAGGTGCGTACAATTATAATCTAAAATTAAGAAAGACCCCAGGAGATGATGGAATCACAACCGAACATTTGAAATATTGTTTATCTGAACTAACAAAAGAAATTGCAGATATATTTAATAATATTGTAGAGAAAGAACTTCCTAATCAATGGTTGTTAAGCATCATCGCCCTAATTCACAAGAAGGGAACAAGAACCGACCTAAATAACTAGACCAATCAGTCTCATTTCAAATTTATATATGGTATTTTCTATGACTTTCACTCGTGAAATTAACACCAATAGTGTGTAACTACACGTACAAAATTCCCCAACCAGGGCGGTGTATCTCAAAAAGTTTATCACGTTTTCTAACCGATTTTTCTTATTGCTGCTTCGTACTGGCCATTCATAAACTGACTCATCTATATTAGGAGACGTTATACATCCATCGCTTCGTCGATGTCCAATTAACAGCGTATGTACTACAACATAACCTCTAACGTACGGTTTTAGTTATTTTTAGTATTTGGCGCATTTTGGCACTCTGTTGGACATAATTTCACTCGTGGAATAGTCGTATTAAATACCTCTCGTATTTTGGAAATTTTCAGATAAATCCCCTTCTCTCTTCGCGAGTCAGAAATTTATCGACAATTTCCAAAGCACTCGTGGTATTACCTATGATAATTAACTGAAGAATAACAAGGAGACTTGAAGAACAACCGCCAGAACAAGCTGGTTTCAAAGCTGGCTTTTCCACAACTGATCACCCCCAGGTAATGAATCAAGTTATTGAAAAAGTACAGGAATTCAATCTGAAACTTTACATCGCCTTTGTAGATTATACTAAAGCGTTTGAATCTGTGGAACACTCCGAAATTATCATAGCTTTGGAAATGCAAGGGGTTCATGGTAAAAACCTTAGAATCTTATCAAAAAGGAACGCAACAAGCGTCTCAAAAGTAAAAACTGAACGAGAGGGAAAGCAATTTGGTTTGAGTAGAGGAGTGAGGCGACTCCATTTCACCTAAGATTTTCATGTTTGCTGGAAAGAATCTTCCGTTCACTGAAATAGAAAGAAGATGCTGAGATAAAAATAGATGGAAAATATTTAACCAACCTAAGATTTGCGGACGACATTTTTTTGTTCGCTACATCAGCTGGAGAACTAGTAAGTATCTTACAAGAATTAAATAAGCTAAGCACCAAAACAGGTTCACGCGTGAATTTACAAAAGACAAAAGTAATGATCAACTATTATGAAGTAAGTATTTCCATGGATGGCAGTCAAATACAATATACACAAGAATACATTTATCTTGGACAACTAATTTCTTTTCAAAACAGAACCAATAAAGAAATCATCAGAAGAATATCTCTAGCTTGGAATAAATTCTGAAGCATTGCTTTCATTCTAATAGACACAAAAGTAAGCTTTCATACTCATCCGTTCTCCATGTTCTCACCTATGGCTCTCAGTCTTGGTCATTAACTAATGCACAACTAACAAGATTACAAAGAAATCAAAGGAAAATAAAAATTTTGTGTATCAATCTGAGAAATCGAATTCGAAATGAGATTCGGAATAGGATCGGTATACGGGAAGCAGGTACTCAAGCAGTACGATGAAATGGAGTTGGTGTGGTCACATCATGATGCAACAACCACAACGGTGGGCTCTCTCAACTGCAGTATGGGGCCCAAGAACGGGCAGGCGAAATCCAGGTAGGCAGCGCAGAAGATGGAGTGATGTATTGTAAGAGTGATTTAGTAAGAGCGAGCTTGGAAACGCTTGGTCAAGGGAAGCGGCAACATACAGAGACAAGTGGAAGGTATCTACCGAAGAGTTTGTGATAAAGAGAAAGGTAATGTAATTTTTGGGTTTCAAAGTTGGTATTGTTTTGTCGTTTCAGGGTAAAGATCAAACGAGAGATTGAGACAAGTGTAAGACATTGACGAAAGAGTTTGAGGCAAAGAGAGATTTTTCGTGTAGTTACGTGTTTTGTTCCTTTTGGTGTGTGAAATTGTGTAAATATGTGTAATTTCATTTTGCTAAAAGCAATATCATTTGATAAACATGAAAAACACCTTGTGTGAAGCAGGAGGCCTTTAAAGGGATTTTAAAAAGTCTCAATAAACTAACATTACTTTGAAGCCCTCGATAATGTCGCAATATAAATAGTTTCAGCGTAATTAGATAAAAGTGTATAGAAGCGCGACTTGCTCACGCTGTTCATAAAGGTTGATCGTCTAATTGTTGTACTTTCACTTTGTTGATGGCGCCCTTCCAAATGACGTCTGAAATATATTCATCACCAGTGATTACAGTATGTCTAACAGCGATTTCTTTTTTCTAATAAATCGCTTTCAAAATCGCGTTATTTACATTCGGTGACCATATACCTCGTACAGTAAGCACTTCTTAATACACCCCCTGAAACACCAATTCTGTAAGCTGAAGAAAGAGATGGTTCATCGAGTATTCCGACAGGCTCAGCGTTACGCCACACGATTAGCCCAGAAGAGATGGCTACAAAGGGTTCGTTTGATAGCGTAGGGTAATTCTGCTTTTCAAGTAAGTTGTTTCTTTTCATAGAACGTTCTTTAATATCCAATAAAAAAATATTGAAAAAACCGCACACACAACAGTTTTTGCTGAAAAATAATTTTGCTATTCAGCATCGCCACTGATCGGCACGCCTTTTGATTATTTAAAGGGTTTTTAAGGTGCATTTCGTACAATGTATTTTAATCAGGCAGATGTGTGATATTCGTAATATGCTCCAATTCTCAAATATTCAATAGAATATTCTCATTGTTCACTTGGTGGTAGGTGCGTCATCCACGTGAGCGGGCTGCATCAAATGTATGTGTGTTAACAGCAAATCGTCTATCGTTCAAATTGACAAAAATATTTCACCTGCCTTAGTAATATAGTTTCTGTTTGATTACTATGCTGCGGACGTATAGGCACGAAAAACTGTAAAAAAAAGGTTTGGAAAAATATACATTTAAAAATGTGAAATATGCAATTAAAAATGTAAAATATGCATTTGAAAAAGGTGCTGTCAATTTTTCCTATCCTTATTTATGTACTTGTGTAGAAAGTTTCTGAAGTAAACATAATATGGGTATCTTTCATCATGGTTCTGATGGTTCCATGGAAAATATTTAAGGTGTTACCGCCTTTTTTTCAATAGAAGGGATACTCTAATGGTATAGCATCGTCAGTGAGAGAAACTGTAAAGGCATCGTTGTTTGTGGATGATTTTGCCATATTCTGTTCATCAATCATCAGTGTGATCCAAAGGCAACTGCAATTGGTTCTCAACAAGCTCCACGCATGGAGCACATTAACAGGGTTTAACTTCTCTACTATTAAATCTACCGCATTTCAGCAGGATATTCCAGTTAATAGGCTTCAGACATTAATGACAGTAGTCTGCGTCAATTTCAACACAATTACAAAATAATCTGGAACTCATTAGTTTCCATGTCATGTGAGAATCACAAGGAATGAGCTGGGCGACCATGCGGCGAAATCGGCAACGCTGATGACGCATAATGACTTTCCTTCTGTAACATCATCCAATGTTACGGCTGTTTTAAAATGATCCATCTTCAGAATGAGGCAGAGTGTCACAAAACCTTTTCAAACAGTGTGGAGAAGGATTGTGTATCTCAGGCTTCCTCGGCTCGACCTTCTAGGTGTGAGGATGTAATTCTAACCCGTCTTCATATTGGCCTTTGCCACTTTTGTGATGTTTTTCTCCATCGAGGTGAATTTCCTCACGTTTGCGACTCATGTAGGGCGGTTCTCTCTGTGAAACACGTCTTCCTACATTGTTCGAAATTATTGGCAGCCGACGAAGACATGATCTGGACAATTCTATACGGAAGGAGCTTGGCGATGACGATACCGCGCACTCAAAGTTTTTTTTTTTGTTTTTTGAATGGAAGTGGAATATATAATTTTATTTGAGAGATAAGGACGATGTTTTATACATGATTCCGGGTCCCTTTACAGCCAATTATAATAAAATATTCCGTGTTCGTTTTATCATATTTTTGCTTTATCTACTTGTATATTTTAAACAATGTAGATTATGTGCATGCTTTTAACCTGCGGGTAAATTGCATCTAAAATACTCGTTTTATTAAATCTACTTAAATAAAAAAAATACTTTGACATGGGAGCCAATGACCTCAATAGTTGAAACGCCTTCTAAACCTCAGTCAAGTCAGCGTTGCATTAATGCACATTGATAGGCACTATTGGTATTTGCTGTTTTCTTAGTGTAGAAAATAGCGAATATTTAAATGTGGCCCCATTATATTGCTAAAAAACCGTGAACTACAATACTGTGTTAACTACAGTCTTGTAGTTCACGGTTTTCTAGCAATGTATAGGTGTATAATATTTGTAAATTTGATGTTCATTGCTCAGTAAACTTCATATATTGTGTTATGAAATATATTGTTTTATATTAAATGTTCCTATTGACCTCCTTTCCAGGCATGCTTAGCAGTGGTGCAATTTGTGAGCAGTATGGTCGAGCGGATAAGAGACAGCCTAGATGGAAAAAATGCAGAATCTGTTATGATGGAACTGGGATCCAGATTCCACAGAGTAATTTATGAACATTTGCAACAGTTTCAGTACAATTCAGCAGGTAAAATGAAGAAAATTACAATGATGTGACCCGTTCAGTCTTCCTCTCTCCCTCTATAAAATGCCAGTAAAAATATTTTGGAGAAACGGAAATATCAATCTCCTTGGCATAGATTCATTTTAAGATAACGAGTAATGAGATGAAATATATAGTCATATTCATACGTACACACAGGATATTTACTCTAATTCACAACCCATATCTAGGAACACCACCCAGACAATGTGGCCACGCGTGAAATACCTTCTGCATCCCTTTCATATTTAGCGACGCACGGCTGAAGAAAAAATCTCTATCTTCAATTTTGTAGTTGTAAAAAGACGCCCGAAAAATTTTTAAATTTTTGAAAATTCAGAGTTAAACCTGAAAATTGGACCTATGCGACCTTTACATGTGTATTTAACTCTGTTCTTACAAGAAATTTAAAGAAAACAGGAGCTTTTTTTTTGAGAAAATTTTGAAAATATCTGGGGGCTTTATGCCAAAAGTCAAATAAGATGCCAAATCAAACATTTTATTTAGTGTTTTGCCATACCATTCGCAAGTATTCAGAATATTAATTAATTTTATTCGATATTCATTGAATATAACTCTAGCAGATACAGTGACTGAGATACTTAAAAACTTTGGTTTTATGCCAATATAATAATGAAATTTTGAGTTCGTTTTCGAAAACCAAAGTATTTGGTTGAAAAAATTAGTAAAATAAATGATTGTACCAAATGTGTACTAATCATGTAAATGATTTGTACTTTTTGCGAAGTTTCCGTACGCTCGTTTAGCATCTTATTTGTGATATTATTTGTTCTACAACTATATTGGCAGTTATTATCAGGTAATTGTTTCGGATTTTATTAAAAAATACAATCATTAATTTTTTAACTCTGAAAAACTGTATTACAAGGCGGTAGTCTTAATTTGTATTCTGTTATAACGTAAAATTGTAATGTAAATAATATTAAAGCATTTTAATACCAATTTAAATAAATTCAGTAATAATTACTAATAATATCATTCAAATCTCCAAGAATAATATATTTGCCGATATAATTGTAGACTCTCAGAACAAAGTTAAGATGGGCGCCGCATTTTGATACGCCAATATACCTTCACAGAACATCTGCTTTTGAGATGTTTTCATTGTGCTACACATTTATTAGCAAATTGCGCAACTTTAAGAAAAATTTGACCTTCATGCTCCAGATTTTAAATTTTTTCTGTGAAGAGAATAAACAAAAATATGAAACACGTGTTTTTCGTATTTTCCCGAATTTTTATTTTCGAGATTACAGTAATGTTCAAAAGTTTCGAAAAAATGCTCGCAGCACTAAAGTTATCATTTTTAACTCTTGTTGTAATTGTGAGAGTAATTAAATATTTTGCGACATTAAAGAAAAAAGATGCTCTTTCATTTGATGTATTTGTTGAATTAATCGATTTTTAAAATAATTTTTCGACCTATTGTCTTTCTATCTTTTTAAATTTCTCCCAAAACTCGACTCCTTAAAAATTAAATAAAAATACCATTGACATTTCTGAGAGGTTCTACATACGTTTGGTAAGTTTAAAAATGGCTGAAACAAGAGAGGTTTTGCTTGAAGATTCTCAGTCTTTGCCTGTCAGCGACGTCGGCGCTGATGCTACAGGCAGCTAATGAGGCATCCTTGCCGGTGGGTGATTGAAACGTGACGAAGGTGAAGCAAACACATCCGTGGAATGGGCTCAACAAAAACGTTAAAGTCCTGGAAGATAATTATCGTATTATAGTCCAGCTGTCGAACTACGCGAGGCCGAGCGACAATGTGCATTATGATATTCGTCAGTATACGAGTCAAATCTTTACAGTTTTGGGATTAATCAAGAACGATTTGGAGCAAAAAATATTCGGATGGAGAGTACGTGTCTGGGCACTCAAACCAGCCTCCACCACTAGATGGGAAGAGAGGGTACTTATAGTATAGATAGAAGCCTCCTCGTCCGAATGCCCTCGTTCTAAAGTCGAAGAGTGAGATGACGTACGCAGCAATGCTCAAGGAACTGAAGAGCAGTTCCGATTTCGATGACCTGGGCTCTAATGATACACACATTACGTTATGTTACGAAGGCTGCTGCTCAGCATGTCCAGCGATTGAAAAAAGCCAAGTTTCAGGCTTCTCTAGAGAAAGTGCTGAATACGAAAGCCGTAATTAAAGCCTCCACTAGCCAGATTTTTATTGAGGTGAAAGACCTTGACAATTTAACCACTAAAGACGAGATCTTCCTCGTCTTGGCTGACGGATTTCAGGAAGCGGGGGAATTAATCCTAGCCGATGTGAATTCTCTTCGATTGGCGTAGTTCGAGGGACAAGGACGGCTGTAATAACTCTTCCCACAGCAGCAGCAAACAAGATCTTGGACGCATGCAAGATGATGATTGGTGAACTGCCGCGTCCGGGAGAGGTTGCAAGAGGACTGGTGCTACAACTGCGGTGACTTCGACCATCAGGTGCACATATGCCAAAAACCATCGCAGAACTGTTAGAGATGTGGTAAAGATGGCCACGTCAGGGAGGCTTGCGGTAAAAGCCCGAGTTGCTTTCTGTGCAGAAAAGAGGCTTGACGATTGCTAGGTTGGCAGCTTTAAGTGTCAGGCCTTCCATCAGGTGTTTGAGGAAAAGCGCAGAATATGAAGATACTGTGTGACATTATGAGGCTGTGCAAGACTTGCTAACGTAGCCGGTACAAGAACGTTGTGTGAGAAGTACCGCGAACTCGATATGAAATGTGGGATCTATCATGGACTTAATGCCTGTGATTCCTTAGTAAAGTCATGTATGAAATGGGAGATCAGCGAGTGCTGTATTCAGTGACCACCAGGCATTCCTCTCTGAAGTGGAGGAAATTAGTTCAGTGGGAAGATACGAAAGCAGAGAAATGAGAGATAGAAAGCGACGGAATTTGATGCAGACGCTTTTAGTATACTAGCGGAAGCTGTTGACCTAACTCGCACATCCAACAACCAAGCCCTACAATTAATGGACAATATCATTAAAGTATGTGAAGCCTAGAAGATCGGAAAAGCCCTGCCGCCGTGCAGTGTACTGGTGGAACGAGGAAATTGCACAGGCGATTAGGTTAAACCAACGAGCACGAGGAAGATAATACCAGGTTGCACCACGTCAACAATACGGAGATGCCCGGCGCAACCTAAAATGAGCTATCAATAACAGCAAACGTGGAAGATGGGCTGAGCTGTGCAATGAAGTATATAATTATCCATGGGGAGGAGCCTTCTGAACAAATTGGCAGAAATAGGAACCCGCATGCCCGGCTGCGCAACTATTTTTCATAGAATAGTCACCACGATCTTCCCAGAAGTCCAAGAGCGACTCCTGGAGTTCCAGGCGAGATCTAGAGACGACGATTGAGATACCTTCGGTTACAGAGGAAGAACTCGGTCTCGCTTGTGAAAGGGTAAAAACAAGGCTCCGGGACCAGACGGTATCACAAACATCGCCCTCAAAGCAGCAATTCGAACTTGTCCAGTCTTTTAGAGACATACGAGGTGTGCCTACGAAAGGGCATTTTTTCAGATAAATGGAAGATGTAGCAACTCTTACTACTTCCTAAGCGCAAAGGTCCAATAGAGAAAGCATCGTTCTACCGGCCTATAAGCATGCTAGACATGGCTGGGAATGTTCTGGATCCATTTATAAGCAGTCGTGTAGTAGAACAATGGAGAGCACAGAGGGGATTGCAGAAAACCAATACGAAGGCGAGAACTTCCAACGACAGTGCCACGTTGAGTGGTTGCACTTCGCCAGGCAAAATAAGACCCGACACAATTATAGGTACTACCCCATGACTTTTTACTTTCGTGACTTCATAATTTACGAATGTATGGAATAATATACGGATAATATAAGGATATACGGATGATATAGTTATGGGAAAGGTATGTAATGCCGCGAGAGAAAACGGCCGATTTTGGCAAGAAAAATTAATTGCCGGGTCCTTATAACGAAAAAGTGGATAAATCCAGTCGCTAATAAGAAAACAATCCTCTAACACGTGTTGCAGACAATCCCTGTTTTGTGAGCCCTTGATACCGAAAAACCAATTGACAGCAAAACGTCCGTCTGCTTGCCAGTCTGTGAACACCACTAGAGACTCAAATATTTTTCAAAAAATACACTTTTTAAAAATATACCTTTGACGCGCACATTTTCAACAATTTGTATATATTATTGCAGTTGGGAGTAGAAGAGTTTCAAATAACTTGCAATTTTTTTTAGAAAACTCAATAATTTTTTTGTGATAAAAGTTTCAATTTTCGCATTAACAGTAACATTTAAACGTCAGTTTTGTAAAAATGGGTCCACATTTTTCAACGAAAATTTCCACATAAAAGTAGTTTTACTCTTCTATTATATCCTTAAAGTATTTTATTGTCTTTTATGCTATTAAAAAACAGAAAATTTGAGTAAGTATTAAAAAAATGTCTGGGTGGCGATAGATGGCACCTGGGAAGAGGATGGAGCACGACCGGAAAGCTAGATATGGCCAAAATTTAGGAAACTAGTACGAGAAAATTTGTGCCATTCTGTTGCACCATTAGTTACGTTCTCGTATACATACATATATACAGAGTAATAGTTGGGAGAATCAGGTAATGCTGCGGAAAATGAATTTATTGATTTCAATGGAAGTCCATGTTTTGGAGTCTCCTGATACCTAAAATGATTGGTTTTTGTAAATGTCTGTATGGTTTAGGCGCTAGCGACGTTCAAGACGGACGGTCGTCTTTGGTAGTGTTAATGATAAATGAGAACATATATGGTAATGTTAAATGAGAACAACATTTTCTAAAAAAGGGCTCCAATGTTTTTCTTTAAACGTTTGGTAGTGTTAGTAATAAATGTTCCATAAAATGAGAACATATACGCTATATTTCTCCATCCTTTAACTTTTTTTTCAAAAATTACAAAAAATTAATTTTATTGACTAACCTCTCTCGTTTT